CGAGTGACTAACAATTCTTAACAGTAACTACAGTGATATATTACACTATGTAACCAGCAGTGGTCGCTAGGGAGTCACAGCACATCCGGGCTTTTTCCTCCTCCGTAGACCTTTCCTCGCCGCTTGCGCCAACCATCGCTCAAGATGGTTGCATTCAGAGTCCGGTCCAGCCCCAGTATTTTGCTCCCTGCGCAGCACCACCGGTTCCTCCCACTGAGATGGGAGTCCCCATTTATCTACTGCAGATGGAATTGCTTTCGAACTGCTGTGTGGGCAGAAGCTGGGACGAATGACAGGAGCTCGCCCCGTCCCGTGGAGCCGCTGGAGTGCTGACCATTTCTGACTGGCAAACTCCAGCGTCATTAAGCCCTGCGCCACCGCGTCCCTTCATGCTTCATCCTCCGAGATACTATATTTCCAAATGTGTGAAAACAGTGTTTGGATACTGACAATTTTAAAGCATGATAGTAAGATTTGTATATCTGCCATTGGATATTTACTACAGAGTAATATTTGCTTTTTGCTTTCTTTTTTAGGGTCAAATTCTATAGAAATGTCTTGAATTTTTACTGGCATTTGTTCCAAACCACCTCTTTGGTTCATTTATTACTCATTTATTACCAACATCTGTATGCAATTCTAAGTGTCTTACAATATTCAGAGCTAAAGACCTCCACAGAGACAACGCAAAATGAAGGTAAAACATATTGCTGTTTATCTTCCTGCCCAAATGCTCAACAGAAAAAAGCTATCTTCACTAGTTTCCTAAACTGCAAAAGGGTGGGGACCACCCTGACCTCAGGGGACACACTGTTCTGATGTGAAAGGACTGCTACCAAGATTGCCATAATATTGGTTCCTGTTCCCTTGATTTGTCATGGGGTGGGCATGTAGGACAGGTAGGTTCTACTTGCAAAAGCGGTCCTGGAGGTAACTAGAGCCCAAGCTCTAGAGCCATTTTGTTAATCAAGAATCTTTCACAAAGTCAATAGATTTTGAATACTCTTGGGCTGTATCCAAATAATAGAATATGTTCTCAGTTGAGGCACAAATGACTCAAATTATCCTATTTTGGACACATTATGTGAAGACCTAGTTTTCTGGAGAAGACTCTAATGCTGGGAAAGCTAGGAGGAAAAAGAGGACAGCCAGCAGCAAGGTGAATGGACTCAGTTACTGTGGTGATGGGTGGACTGTTGGAAGACCTCAAGGACCAGATTGTTCTGGAGAAAATCTATCTATGTGGTCACTAAGAGTTGACACTGACTTGATGGCACATAATCAATCAATCAATCAATCAATTAATCAATCAACCAAATGTGGGCTCTTAATGTACACTGAGTTATGTTTTGCTTTAGGCTTCCAGTAGTTTTCAGTGTCTTCCATAAATCTATCTATGTGGTCACTAAGAGTTGACACTGACTTGATGGCACATAATCAATCAATCAATCAATCAATTAATCAATCAACCAAATGTGGGCTCTTAATGTGCACTGAGTTATGTTTTGCTTTAGGCTTCCAGTAGTTTTCAGTGTCTTCCATTCAGATTCATTCTCTCTCTCCCTCACTCTCTCTCCCTCCAACAAGAATTTCTCAGATGATGAGGAAATCCAGCAGCGCAATCCTTATCTGAGCACAGTCCTTAGAAAAGGTCATTGGAGATAATCTGGTTTCTGGTTATGTTTGCATTTATTCATTGATAGATAACACAAGCAAGTCTAACACTCCAGCAGAGTCAAAATTGATAGGTCCCGGATCAGATCTCTAGAGAAAGAAGCTAATTCTCAGAACAATATCCACTAAGCCATTTCTATCCACCCATCCCATCTCATGACAACTTGCCCCATGTACAGTGCAGTGCAGATGTATCATTCTAGATGGTAAAGCAGACTGTAATCCTACAACAGTTATGGAAAAGAAAGCTCCTCTGCATTCACTAGGAAGCATTTGGGATATCTTTTACTCTGAAATCCCAGAGGCAAAATGTTCGTTGGAACACACACATACATATATAGTTACATACCCTACCTATACAGAGAGAAAGAGAAAGAGAGAGAGCATTTTCTTCCCGTTATATCCTATGTCAGTTTAATATTTTTCCCTTATTTTCTATTGAAGCCGATAGTCAAATAATTGGGGAAATCTGAAATACTGAATAACTGTCAGTAATATATTGATATCTGGAAGAAAAGTATCGATTTCAGATACTTAATTAAAGTCATCCTCCAAAGGCAACTGCCCCTCCCATCCCTATTAAAAAGACTCATTGCACTCCTAAAAACTTGATTGGTTCTGATAAAATTGAGATAAAACTATAAAAAACTTGCTAACTACACACCACCAGAGGGCTGTATCACTACAGCATTACACCCTACCTCAATACATAACTAATTAGATGAAGTTAGGATCAAAGGATGTGGTCCCTTTGCCTAAACTTTAGATTGGCCAGCTATCAGAGATGCCCATGACCTAGGAAGAAGAATCAACTCCACACTGCGATCACGTCAGAGGGACAGGCTATTCTTGCCTGGCATACTTTTAGCAACAAGGTGATTAACTTTACTTTCCAATTGTCTTCCCTAATCAATACCCTCCCCCACCCACACCCACACCCACACTTTTGTTTTCCTACCTCATCCTCTGGATGCCTTAATTATTATGTTTATTTTATTATTTTAGAATACCTTCAAGTGGTTTGATGTTAACTGTATTGTTATTAGTTAAT